ATGATTATACCACAATTTTGGTTTCTGACAGTACTGTTGCTTACGACGTTATGACTGTGTAAACACTGGACACAGTTGAGCCATGTAGTAATCTAGGATTCATTTAGCTTTCCTGTATAACTTTTTGTTTCCTTTGGTTAATAATTGTTTTGTTTCTTTTATTTGCTTCTTTCTCTATGTACTTATCACCAGTTCAACTTTAATACTCCATATCCAGCTGTCTAGAGTGACTCTGAATGCTTCCAGAACTATCAGGGGTTCCATCATTGTTCTTCCCCTGAGTTTGTCTGGAGCCATTTGACCCTCTCCCTTCTGGGTGGATTAATCTCATTCCTGCTCATGCGACTGCCATCCTCATATCCTTCACCATTATTCGGGGGATTCCCTCGACTTTCTGCATTGGTGGAGCCCCCATTTGCTTTATGCCATGCCTTCTTCCATATTTCATTGGAGCACATTCTTCCAGTACCTAACTAAGAATGTAGGTCCATGGGAGGTAAATTTTTTGAGATTTTTTTTAATATCCAGACGTGTTTGTTATCCTTGTCCTAGATGGAGAGTTGAGCTTGGAGTAGAGTTCTAGGATGGACATTTCTTTCCCTTATGAAGGCATTGCGCCATTGTCTTCTGATTTTCAGTGTTCCTTTTGAGAACTCTGAATCTATTCTGATTATTGATACCTGGTATCATTTTTTTTTTTTTTTCTGTCTGTAAGCTTAACCCCCTCCTCCCCTTTATCTCATGCTCTCTGACTTTTCTCCATGTGCCCTGATGTGAGATCGTTTTCACCAGTATTGCTGGGCACTGGGGTAGGAGATAAATCCCTACAGGGATAGTTGCTCCTTTCTCGTGCAGAGCCAAGATGCTGTAGAGCTGGATGGCTACATTTCAAGTCCAAGTGGCCAGCATGGTTTTTTAAAAAGCCCTTTTCACTTTGTGGAAGGTTCCAAGTTGACCCAGTAAAAATAGGCGCCTCAGGCCAAAAAATCATCAGCCTCTAATGGTCAGGCATCTAGGCTCCCAGAAGAGAACAGGCGTTCAGTGCCCCAAGCCAGCAAAATAGTCTTATCAACATAGGGAACATTCCGAAAGCTCAATTCCCAGACTTGAGCCAGGCGCCTGGCTTGCTGTGTTAGCACTTGCCTGCCCATGACCTTTACTGATGCTCTTTATTTCTTCATGTGGGTTTGAGTTCCCATATTGTGTCCTTTCTAAAACAGACACATATTGTGTCTGTTCTAGAGCAGAACTCCAAGTTAGGTTAAAGAGTGAGGATGGGGCTTTTGATGGAGGCCCAAAACACGTCAGCCCCTCAGGCTGCTGGGAGGCTGCTGGGCTGCCAGTTTTCACCGCTTATGGGCCAGAGTTGGGGAGCCGGTGGCTTGGGGTACGGGGAGAAGAGGTGAGTAGCGCCAAGTGAAACACTACAGATTTGGCTGTTCTCACTGAGGTTCACTGGTTCTTCTTGAATAAATGCTTCTTGATTCCTTGTATGCCTTTGGTTAATTGCCAAAGTCTTGAAAGGATGGATATTGATAATTTTGCCAGTATTTTCATTGCTTTCATGGCGGAGATTTACTGAGATCCTCACTGCCTTTCCAGAAGTCCTGCCTTAGGCATTTCTCTTAAAACTACAGAAAAGTACAGAAAATCATCATTGTAACTAATACCCTTGTACTTACCTCCCAGAAGTAGCAAATATCAATATTTTGATACTTGGTGGGGGTGTTTTCTTTAATAAAAGAAATAGAGGTGTACAAATAAAGGTCAAGGCCTCTTTTCCTCTCCTGAGGCCTGTTCCTCTCATTCATTCCCCAGGCAAACAGTATCATGAATTTGGTGAGTATCCTTCTAATCCATGTTTTTATACTTGCAGTACATATATTTGTATCTGTAATCATATAGTGTTCCTTTTGTAAATTTACCAGATTACTGGACTTGAACTGTAGGGCTCTTTCTAAAACTTTCTGTCTTCAGCGAGCGTTGCCTTTTGAGCTTCACCTCTGCTGATACATTACATTTAGTTCATTCATTTTAACTCTGATATAGCATTCCAGCATCTGAGTATTGCAGTCCATCAATCTGTACCTCCATTACTGGGAAATTTCGTTGTTTATATTTATTGCCATTCCTGTACATGTATCCTGGCCCACACTTGCAGAATTTTCTCTGTGGTGTAACTACAAGTGGAATACATAGTAGGGTATGTACATTTTTAACATTACTGGATATTATTTACCTTTCTTCTCTCCCATCCATAGAATCAGTTTGCCTTGTATATTTAAGAGTTCTGCATCTGTTTGGGGCACTTGGCTCACTCAGTCAGTGGAGCATGTGACTCTTGATCTCAGAGTTGTAGGTTTGAGCCCCGTGTTACAAATAAAATCTTTTAAAAAAAAAAAGAGTTTTGCATCTACTTAAGTGAAATTGTTTTGTAATATTCTCATATTCTGTTCTTATTTGCTTTTGGCATCAAGATCATTCAGTTTTATATAACATAAGCATTGTTTTACCACCTGTGTTTTGGTTGTTCAGTACCAGGTACATCTCTTTCCATAATTTTATTTTCAACATTTCTCTCTCATTTTGCTCTAATTATCTTTGGAAAACATAAAGCTGATTTTGAAAAATACAATTTAATATGGTTGCCCTTTAACTAATGGGGTTAATATATATTTATTGTGCCATTACTATGTTAGTATTTCTTCTTTTCTTGTATTGTCTATATATCCTGCTTTTTCTTTACCTCTTTTTTTTAAAGACTTTACTTTAGAGCGAGAGAGTGAGCAGGGGTAGGGGCAGAGGGAGAGGGAGAGAATCTCAAGTAGACTCCATGCTATGCGGAGCCCGACACGGGGCTCCACATGACCCGAGCCAAAATCAAGAGTCAGATACCTAACCTACTGAGCCACCCAGGTGCCCCTCTTTACCTCTTTCTTCCTGCCCTTACTGCATTTTTACACCCCCCAACTTTTTCCCTTTGATTATTTTCCTCCTGAAATATTCAAGTATCAAGCATTATTGTTAGCCAGGCTTTGTGTGTGATAAATTCCCTACCTTTTCTTGTCCAAAACCACTTTTATTTTGTCATCTTTCTTTGTGATAATTTATCTGGGGATAGAGTTCTAAGATGAAATCAAGCTTCTTTCAGGACTTTGAATACACTACACTGTTTAATCTTTTGGCTTCTTTTATTGCTGATGAAGTCTGATGTTGATCTAATTGTTTCTTTGTAGGTGATTTAAAAAATTTCTCCATGGTAGCTTTCCATACTTACTTTCTGACTGAAAAGTCTTGTGGTTCCACTAAACTGTGTCCAGGTTCAGTTTTGCTTTTATTTACCACACTCAGGACTCTGGACATTCACTGGTAGGATGTGTACCTTTCTTCCATCTAGAAAACTATCAGTCATTGTCTCTTCAAATACTGCCTAGCTCAGGGGTCCCTAAGACCACTACCATATTTAGACATTTTTGAGAAGGACTCATGGGACTCCACATACAGTTGTATCTATAGCTACGATTTATTAAAGCAATGTAGTAAGGATAGTCTACTAGATCACAAGGGGAAAAGACACTAGCAGAGTCTGGACGAATCCATGTACAGGATTCCTTATGCTCTCGGGTCATACAGGGCACACTTCTCCCAGCAGAGAAAATGCAACAACATGTGTGCCCAGGGAAGCCCATTGGAAACTCAGTACCCTTGGTGGCTCTGCCTAGCACATACCAAAATTCCAGACTCACAGAAGGAAAGGAAATGTTCAGCATGAATCACATTGTTTGTACAAGCAGCCTTATCAGTTAGGGAATAGTGGAGACATTCCTGAACTCCAAATTCCCAGATGTCAGCCAGGGCCCAACCTTGCAGCCTAGCCTTTCTAAGTATGGCAGTCTCAGGACTGCTCTATGAATCCTTTTCTTGGCATATTGCCCCTGTCCCTTTCTCTCTATTCTTTCCATTTGGATTTTCTATTAAACCTATGGTGGAACTTACATTTTTCTCTTTGTCTTACCCTATTTCCATTTTGTTAGCTCTTTATGTCACATTCAGGGTGACTTGTTAAGGTCTGTCATCTGATTCATTTAATCTGTCTTTATCTGTGACTAGTCTGCTGTTCAACCTATTTAGAGTTTAATAATACCTATATTTTCTACTTATGTTTCTTTTTTCAAATGTTCCCTTCTTTACCCCATAATATAGCTCTTACCCTCTTTCTTTGAATATTTGAAATTTTAAAGTCTAGATTGTTCTGTTAGCTGCAGTTCTAGGAATGGGGTATCTTTAAATGTATCTGCTGATTATCTCTCAAGATGGTTCATTTCCTTGTGAGGTTTAAATTATTTTACTGTGAACTCTTCAGTGAGAATTGGTTTTCCATAGAAGTTCTGTGAGTCCTAAGCTATAAAAACATAAGAATGTATCTTTTAGAGTTTGCCACCCTACGAATAACAGGACCAATTTTTATGTTAATTTTTCAGCTTGTGGGCTCTTTATTAAACTATGATATTTTTAGATTGAGTTACATTACTAGGCTTTTGCTTATATCTTTCTTTCCAGTTTCCTTGACCAGTGGGGAGTCTTTCTAGCTCCCCATTAACAAACATGGAAGCCCCTTGTGATTCCAGCTGTAAGTGGGAATTACGTACCAGTTTCCTGAACATTTTTGCCCTGTGGTCTGGATTTCACTGCAAATCCTCAAGCTTCAGTTTCTGTTCACCCCATCATTTTAAATTTCCACTTCACTTTTGACACCTAATACATTTCTTGGTTTTGAGCTTGACTATGTATTAAATTACTTTTGTTAAATGTGGGCCAGCATTTCTTTGTGTTTACAGTCAGAGGAGGTGGTGCTAGTGAGTCATGGAGGGAGCCCATCCACATCAGCTCAAGTCCTACTGATAGGAGTTCACAGCAAGATGTTTATGAACGAATTTTATCCCATAACATTATAGTAGAAATGTTTACAAGTTTGATGAGTCCTTTGCAATTTTTTCTAGAATTCTGGCAAGTTGATGACCAGATAGACAACCACAAGGAAAGCCAAAACCAACTTCTGTGGCAAACTGCATTAGTAGACAAGGAAACACAGAAGGATCAAAGTGGCCAAGAATTCGCAACCTTCAGGAAAATCGTTTATCCAAACACAGACTTTGTTTCTATAAGACAAAGACTCCCTAAATATTATTCCTGGGGAAGGTGTTCAAAACATAATTTAAACTTTCTTTGTCAAAATAGAAGCTATGTAAGAAAGAAAGATGATGAATGTCAGGCACATTGGAAATTATGCTTCCATTCTAATCTCAATAATGCTCAACCTGCAGAGAAATTTTTTGAGCCTAATCAATGTGGAAGAGCCCTCCACCAGAAGCAAGCACTTAATAAAACTCAAAGAATTCAAACTAGGGAGAAACTCTATGAGTGTTCTGAATGTGGGAAAGTGTTTATCCAGAAAGCAAACCTTGTAGTACATCAGAGAACTCACACAGGAGAGAAGCCTTATGAATGCTTTGAATGTGCAAAAGCCTTCAGCCAGAAGTCAACCCTCATTGCTCACCAGAGAACTCACACAGGGGAGAAGCCCTATGAATGCAGCGAATGTGGAAAAACCTTCATCCAGAAGTCAACTCTGATTAAACACAAGCGAACTCACACAGCAGAGAAACCATTTGTATGTGGTGAATGTGCAAAAGCCTTTAAGAGTTCATATCACCTTATTAGACATGAGAAGACACACATTAGGCAAGCATTTTATGAAGGAATCCACTTTGGTAAGTCCAGCCTTATGCATCAAAGGACTCGTAACAGTGAGAAACCTGAGTGTAATAAACATGGGAAACCCTTTGATGAGAAAGCCAACCCCATTAAACACCAGAGATCTCACACAAAAGAGAAACTTTATGAGTGCAGTAAATGTGGGAAAAGCTTCAGGGGAAAGTCACACCTCTCTGTTCATCAGAGAATTCATACAGGGGAGAAGCCTTATGAATGCAGCATATGTGGGAAGACTTTCAGTGGGAAATCACACCTCTCTGTCCATCATAGAACTCACACAGGAGAGAAGCCGTATGAATGCAGAAGATGTGGAAAAGCGTTTGGTGAAAAGTCAACCCTTATTGTACATCACAGAACTCACACAGGAGAGAAACCCTATAAATGCAATGAGTGTGGGAAAGCCTTCAGCGAGAAGTCACCACTGATAAAACATCAGAGAATTCATACAGGGGAAAGGCCCTACGAATGCAGTAACTGTGGAAAAGCATTCAGGAGGAAGTCAACTCTCATTAAACATCAGAGAATCCACACAGGGGAAAAACCCTACAAATGCAGTGAATGTGGGAAAGCCTTTAGTGTGAAATCCACTCTCATTGTACATCACAGAACTCATACGGGAGAAAAACCCTATGAATGCAGGGACTGTGGAAAAGCCTTCAGTGGGAAGTCAACTCTCATTAAACATCAGAGAAGTCATACAGGAGATAAAACCTATTAAGATACTTGAGAGTGAGAGAATGTCACTATTCGTTATACCTCATTATGTATCACTTCATCCTGGGGAGTAACCTTATAAATGTTAAGAATGTCAGAAACTCTTCAGGTATTATTTAATGTTCCTTTAATATAATAAATGTTACAAAAGCATAATTCCAGAAGCATATAATAAATGTGATCAGTTTTTTACCCAGAATTCTTACCCATGAGTGGAAAATTGTACATGAGAGAATTTGGGGAAATGTTTGTGGTAATCTGTTAAGTGAAAAAACAGATTATAAAACAATATACCATATGGTTTACATTGTAAAAAAAGAGGAAGGATAGGCACCATTGTATCAGTGATTCTGGGTGGTAGAAAAATGGCAACTTTATGATGAGTAAAATTGTATGCACATATATATTTGTGTTATATCTATTTTAGGTGTGTGTATGTAGGTAGGTAGACACATAGAACAAAAAGCTAGGAAGGAAATATACCAAATTATTAAGCAAATTATCATTTGGGTGTTGGGAAATTGATTTTTAAATGTTTTGAGCATAGTCTCCAGAAACTACCAATAAATTGTTTAAAGTAATCCTGTGTATACTTGATTCTGTCTTCCCATCCACTTTCCCTTTCAGCTTTGTCTTTGGTTTTGAGAATGTATTTTGCATGTTGAGAATGGGTATCCTGTGATTTTAATATCTGTATGTGATTTTTTAATAAAAATAAAAATACCTCAGGGGGCGCCTGGGTGGCTCAGTCAGTTAGGCGTCTGCCTTCGGCTCAGGTCACGATCTCAGGGTCCTGGGATCGAGCCCCGCATCGGGCTCCCTGCTCTGCGGGAAGCCTGCTTCTCCCTCTCCCACTCCCCCTGCTTGTGTTCCCTCTCTCACTGTGTCTTCTTTCTGTCAAATAAATCTTTAAAAAATATAAATAAATAAATAAATAAATAAATAAATAAATAAAAATACCTCCATAGTTCACCAAATCCTGTGACATAAGTTATCAGCTAACAGATTTTTACAAATGAGATGTAGCAAATGGTCAAAGATAACCACAAGTAACGAGACGAAACTGACTTCCGACACCAAATATAGAGCTCATTTCACTGTGATATCTGTGAATGCTACTTGCTAACATTCCTTCCTTCTCTTCTTGTCCTATTATCAGCACTTGTATCGGGCACATCCCAGGTGACCCCAATGAATTGTGCCCTATATAATCCTCTCTCCTTGCGTGTGGGTAGAACTGAGACTTGCTTCTAGACAATAGATTATGGCAAAAGTGACGTGATGTTGCTCCTGTGAGTATGTCATATAAACTCCATCTTAGCAGACTGGAAAGAAACTTTCCTTGCTGGTCTGATGAGGTAAGCAGCCATGTGGAGGAAGCGCATGGGCCAAAGAACTGCAGCTGGCTTCTGGGACCTGAGGGAACCCTGAGCTAAGATGGTAGGACTGGAGTGGCAAAACCTTGGAGACGAGAAGTGAAGAAAAGCCCAATAGAGCTTTTTCCCCCAAGGAGCTGGTCGGTAAATGGTGTAAGATAAATTCAGAGATGCACAACAGCCAAGTGCTTGAGGTACCAAGGAGAGCTTTCAGCAGAACCAGGTACGAAGGTGATCAAACTTGGACTTCAGATCCCACCAGTGATGAAGGGCCCTGGTAAATGCCCCAAGACTCTCAGTTGGAATCTCTGAAGGACTTTAGGAATTAGGAGGAAGTAAATATAAACCAGAAAACCAGATCTTTAAAAGGTTGATACCTCAGCTTGTATTAGCTCACTAGCTAACTGAATTAAGGTAATTTATATGACCGCCTGTCAGGAACTAGATAGAGCTCATCTAGAGTTTATACAATTTCTCATGCACTGTGGTATTCGACTGAAAATTGCCAAGCACACCCAGAGTCAAGTTAAGAAAAAAGTGGACAGCAGAAAGCAGACCCACAAGTAATTCAGACATAGGAAACACAAGTCATGCTCTTTATTTTTTTAAAGATTTTATTTATTTATTTGACAGCACAAACGGGGAGCGGCAGGCAGAGGGAGAGGGAGAAGCAGGCCCTCCACTGAGCGGGGAGCCTGATGCGGGACTCGATACCAGGACTCTGGGATTATGACCCGAGCCAAAGGCAGACGTCCAACCGACTGAGCCACCCAGGTGCCCCAAGTCATGGTCTTTAAAATAACTGAATAATATGAACAAGAAAATATAAAATGAAATTCTTAGGAAAATGCAAATTATTTCCAATAATTATTTACTTTTTTGCCTAGTGCTTTATTTTCCTGGAGTTTCTAATTGCCCTTTTTTAAAATTTTTTTTATTTTTCCAGGGTCACAGACATACCGTCCAATCTATGGAGGTTTTCTCTCTGGTATTAGAATTCAGGGTAGTCATTAACTGAGGGGGATGGCTGAGAAAGGGCAGAGGGAGGAGCCTCAATGCAAGCTAGAAACTTTTCTCCAAAGAATAGTTGCCTGCAGAAGATGGTGTTGCTATACTCCCAAATCCTCATGGACTGTACTGTGACTCTCATACAGGGACCTTCCAGAGGCTCCATCCATCATTTCTACATGCCACAGCCTCTTCAAGCACCATATGATACGGTAGGTCATATAGCTCAAGAGACAGTGCACATAGTAGACCAGACCTATTTCAAAGTACATTCTTGCTCTGGGCCATACTAAAAATCAGCATTTTGTGTTATTCAGTAAATTGTCTGGAGCAGTGTGACAGAATGGGGTTTATGGTGTCTAACAGGGTCCAGCAGTGGTTCCTCAAAAGGAGTATCCTCGGGGCACCTGGGTGGCTCAGTGGTTAAGTGTCTGCCTTTGGCTCAGGTCACGATCCCAGGGTCCTGGGATTGAGCCCCGCATCGGGCTCCCTGCTCCACCGGAGGCCTGCTTCTCCCTCTCCCACTCCCCCTGCTCATGTTCCCTCTCTCGCTGTGTCTCTCTGTCAAATAAATAAAATCTTAAAAAAAAAAAAAGTATCCTCTCTCACAGATGCCATGGCCTCCCTCCAAAGTCTCAGGGACCTGAGTCTCACACTGCAACTTTTCCCACCACTGACACCCTTGACACCATAGGGTCAGCCAGATCATGGGTCCAAGCAACAAGCCTGCTTGTGCTGCAGTCTGGGCTTGCTACGGTCTTTCCTGCCTTAGGCCCCCCTCAAAGCTGGCAGCCTTCTGTCACCCAGTACGTGGGCCAGAGAAGTACTTCTAGGTATGGAATACGTTCCCTCCTAGATTCCGAAGAGGCCTGTATTTCTCTTTTGTGAAGTCAAACTTTGTGTGTTTGAGCTTGTGGTAGTTTAAACTCATTATCCCATTATTCTAACTGGTTTCTGCAAGGGTCAGAATGATGAATTAAACAGAGATATGGTTAAGGACCACTAATCCCCTGCATCCTTTAAGCCTTTACTAGTGGCACTGATCTCCATCATCCCCTAGGGTGCAATATTTGTTTCAGTTCACCATCTTGGTTGGTGGGTGAAGGAAAAAGCAAGAGTTTTCCATTTTGTTTTCCCCACCATGAAGGATCTTACTACACAGGCCAAGGACCCAACATGGACATTAATCCAACAGCTAAGACTGGGAAATGACCACTGGGCATGTCTGCAGATGCAGTGGGCCACTGTGAGTTGGACTTAAGCTAGGACTCAGCCCCCACACTAATAGGAGGGCCATGATGATGCTTTGAGTGTCTGGGTATTAACGTGAACTCAGAAAGCTATGTCCAGCAGTCCTAAAAATATCTGGGAATTCCCCCTTTTCTCAGTGTATAGTCACCCAAATAAATGGCCATAGGTTCGGGGGCGGGGGGACCAGGTTGAACAATATATACCTGCTACAGTGCTCTAGGGTCCTTCCTTTGAGGGACGTGGGCACCTCTCCAATTGGTTCCAGGTCTGAAATTTGGCTCAGATCTGGGAACTGAGCAAGGGACCCTTAATTTTTAATGAAGCAATTGCCCTCGGACTCCTGCTCTTTGAATTTTGCCCTTTTCTGATCATAATGTTAACAGCATTCCTACCGACTGCCCATCAGTTTTACTTCTAGGGATGTCAGGCTTATCAGCAGAGTCAATGCAGATGAGGAAAACTTAATGAGCTTGAGGGAAAGTATTTAGGCTTTGCCATTTAATATGATGTTGGCTGTGGGTTTTTGTAGATGTCTTTTTAAAGATTTTATTTTTAAGTAATCTCTACACCCATCATGGGGCTGGAACCCACAACCCCGAGATCAAGAGTCACGTGCTCCCCTGACTGACCCAGCCAGGGGCCTCTGTAACTGTCTTTTAATAGATTGGGAAGTTCCTTTCTACTTCTAGTTTACTGAGGTTTTTTTTTTTTTAATCATGACTGTATATTAATTTTATCATGTTATTTTCCTGTAACCATTGAGATGATGTTTTCCCTTTATTGTTAATGTATTCAGTTACATTGAATTCTGAATTTCTTTTTTTTTTTAGGTTTTATTTATTTGACAGACAGAGACACAGTGAGAGAGGGAACACAAGCAGGGAGAGTGGGAGAGGGAGAAGCAGGCTTCCCATTGAGCAGGGAGCCCGATGCAGGGCTCGATCCCAGGACCCTGGGATCATGACCTGAGCCGAAGGCAGACGCTTAACAACTGAGCCACCCAGGCGCCCCTGAATTCTGAATGTTAAACTTGCGTTCATGTATTCTTGGATTCCAGCTGCCAATATTTTAAGGGTTTTTGTATCAGTCTTCATGAGGGTTATTAGTCTGTACTTATCTTTTCCTGTAATTTCTTGGTCCAATTCTGGTGTCAGGGTAATGCTGGTGTGAAAAATTCACTGGGAATTATTTCTTCCTAATTTTCTTCAAGAGTTTGTATAGGATTGATACTATATCACTGTAAAGGTCTTGGAGACAGTCTTCATGAGACCACCCTCACTTCTGATGCTAGTTGAAAGTTCAGGGGTCCCCAGGGTCACTGAATACCGAAGTTCAATAATTATATAGAAGGACTCACAGAATTCACTAA